ACACCCTGGCGGCTTATGATGGATGTGGTATAGATGAACTGAGATCAAAGACAAATCGATCAGTGATTTGGTTCAACACTCCTGTAATCAATAACCATACATTGTATCAACGGCGTCATTAATCTAGTTGAATCAATATCAATAACACCGTTCATGGCGTGATATTTAAAGTACCAATCAAACGTAGAATCAGTTCCACCAATCACTTTTTCAATTTCCAGTTATATAATGATATGCATAAAGTTTCTATTTTCAAGTGGGCACAACAGTGGGCTTCCAGAAATTTACTAATAACTTTATCCTAATTGGGTACGAATGAAACTAATAAACAGGAAACAGTTAGGGAGAAAAAATAGCAAGAGCAGCAGAGTTATTTTCGTATGTTTAATTTAACACTTTTTGCTTGGCATAATCCAAATTAGGGAATAGCAGTCAACCACAAGTTGAACGCAAATTAGTTAACTAATATTATTTGTCTATAAATGTCTGGGTTTATCTATTTAATGTTCTGATTTCTTCAATGTGCAACAGTTCATTTAAACTGGATACGAAAAGCCCATTAAGCGATATAATAATAAACCACTGTTTAGCGCCCATTTCGAATGTGTTAATGGTTCAGTTCTTGATTAGTCGTTTGAATGATAAACTTTATTCTTGTTTTTGAGGCTCATATCAATTAGGAATGGTATGTTAGTACACTTGGTTCGCTTTTACTGCCATATCTCCGGGACATATCTTCACCACATTAACTGATTTGAATCGCAAGACTATCGCCTTGTTACAAATTATTCACTAATCGCATCCCGGTTCATTTTTCACATCTTCATCCATATCACAGATTTACGAGTCGGGAGAAAAAATGGCCTATTGCCGATATATCAATAAAATGCTGAAACAAGATTCCGACTGTCGTCCATATCTGCCGTTAGACCCATTCAATGATGATTTATATAAGACCACAAAAAATGGGATTCTGCTATGCAAACTAGTGAATATCTCATTCCCGCACGCGATTGATGAGCGTGCAGTGCACAAAAATGCGATCATATTCTATCCGAGTCAAATGGTTGACAATGTGCTCTTAGCACTGACCGCGGCCCAGTGTAACGGATGTCCTGTGACGGATTTCACCGTGGATGACCTGACTAACAATTCGGCGTTGTCCCGATGCGTGATACTTGAAGTGGTGTGGCAAATTATAAAATGCGGATTTTTCCGTGCCATGAATTTGCACGAGCATCCGGAGTTGTGCAAACTGAAACAGCCCGAGGAAGAGGTGAGCGATCTCAAATGCATTCCACCGGAGGATTTGTTAATGCGTTATGTGAACTTCCATCTGAAACATGTTGGTGTGGATAAACAATTGAATGATATTGGGATCGAGTTGGCCGATTGTGTAATCTATGCACACCTGTTGCCCTCGATCGCTCCGGTTACCATTCGGGGGCGACTGATTCCACCAGGGCAGGTGTTGTTGGATGATAATATTGCGAATCGAGCCAAAGCGGTGTTGCAAAATTTGCGTGAAATGGAGGCAGATATGTTTTTGTGTTTGAACGACTTTACCGAAAGCCAAGTACATTTAGAATCCCGCGCGCGGCTGCATTTGGCAACAATCGCCTATTTGTTCTCCAAGTTCCCGGGTGAGTTAGTCAATCCGCGTCGTGCGAATGAACCACGTACCAGTGAGCCGGTGAGTGAGTTGAGCAGTCGAGATTTTGTCAACTCCATGGCTGTCAATCCGTTCGCCACACATGTGTGCTACAACCTTCGGGATGGACTGATGAGTCGTCAGTTATTCGAGGTGCTTCGTGCTGGGTACACAAAAGGACTGAAGTTTATCGTGGAGTTTGACAAAATTCGACGTATTGCACAGTTTATCTACAACAACACAAATATAGTTCGTTTAGTTCAAGGATATCCGCTACCACTTCCTCATTTGGATGCTGAAAAATTGTCCCGTACAGATGAACCGTGTTGTTTGAGTATGTTGCTGGAAATTTTACGCGCCTACATAACTCTTGATCACTATGATGAGGTGGAATTGCTACGATGGACGAACGAACAACTGTATCGAGCCGGTCGATCTGTGGAATTGCGCAGTTTCAATGATCGTGTGATTGCCGAGGAGAATCTGTTCGCGGTGGTGTTGAATAATCTGACTAATGGAATGGCTGATAGCCGACATTTGACATCAAAAAAACTGGACAACGCGGCCTATTCAATCTCAGTCGCACACAAAGCCGGCTATCCGGTCTATACGAAACCGGAACATTTTGTCTCCTGTAATGGAGCATTTGTTTCTCTCGCTTTTGCCACGCTCCGTTGGCATGCACCTCGCCACTGACAGAGCGAGAATTTCTCATTCTCTCTCACGCACGCACAATAGTTATCAATGTGCCAATTCTGTCACAGAATGCACTATATGTTTTCTTTATCTCTCATTTCGGACTATGAAATGATCCGTGTCAAAATAAGTTTGTCATGCGTTCCGTTCCATTTACGCACCTCTATTGTTCTCTGACCGATATTGGTGTTGTGTTTGAGTATGCGCTAGCCGTATTCGGATACCGCTTTTCATATAGTGTATCGTTAAGTCCAGTTCCTGAACAAGTCATGCCATATATACGCATTACTCAATTCGGGGTAGTGTAGTCGCACTGGAAACTGCGTGAGCCATGCACACAACTTCAATACTTGATGCATATCATCCTGCTCACTTTCATCCCACAGGCGGGTTTTCCAGGGAGTGAGGTTTGCTCNTTTGCTCGCAAGAGCTAAATGGCCATGAAGACAACCGAGGGACTGATAAAACCATAATGAGCGTTTCAGTTTCAGTTTACACAACCATTAACCATGCTAACGATTTAGTCAGTTGCTTACTCTTTCTGTACCTTGATCTAGGACGGTGATTTTATTCACGTATGCATTTCACATTGAAGCGCATAGTACAAATTTCATCCACATTGGATTTCTTAGGTGTGCGGTCGGACTCGGTTTGGGCAACATTTGTGGCAGACCATGCTGGGAAAAAAGGTTGTGAGTTTACTTGTGGAGCAGAATAGCGAGACATTCAAGAGTCCAAATGCTGTCCTCTTAAAAGATATACAGATCTGACACCAACATGCAACAAGCATATTAAAAACGCATAAAAATAAAAAATGAATAACGGAAGCCATTGAACACAACTGATGAGACCAAAGAAAATCAGGACACAAAAATACTAAATTCTGTTTTATCGAATTTTCGTTCACAGTTTGAAGATATCGTGACTCGATAAATTCATACTGTCTCAAGAATGCAGTGCACAGCACTGGTAGCATTATTAATCCTGACGGTTCCTATCAGGTTTTGTGTGTGCGTGGTGTAGGGGGGGGGGTTGAGCTCTCAAATCGATCGAACAAACTACAGATCCATTCGTGCTATAAAAACACCTTGAGCATAAAGATAGGAGCAGACGTATTATCACTGGAAGAAAAATGCTTATTCATTATTAAAAAAAAATTGGTACCCAATAACTATCCCCATTATTCCTATTAAAACAATCACGACCCAATCAGGCAAAAATGAAGGTTTCTTGAGAATATATATACAGAGATATATCACTTTTTTGACCACCTTGCAAAAATGATAACTGAAAGCATGCAATCAATTACCTCACTGGGTAGGGAAATGTGCTGAACACGGATAAGTCAATAAGGAAAGCGCCAGATAGATTAGTGTCAGACAGGGCAACAGTCAGTCATTGCTTAGCTTCCTTAATCGTGAAGTGATTTTTTTTTAATGTTCTGTGGAAGATAGCTCTGATCCCAGTCTTGAAATACACTGATCTAATAAGTATAAATTTTGATGACGTAATTCAGTTCCACTGGTCGTCAACGAGATCTTTAGAAAAATCAGCCCTAAGAAACAAAATATCGTTCAAAAACCCCAGAGAGCGACAATTCTTTAAGCACTAGGGATCATGCAAAACAGATGTAGGAATGGAGAGGACAATGGGTAGACCGAAACTAAAGTAAGACCATCACTTGGTTTGGTGAAGCTTTTTGCTCAACCCGAATATTTAGTTTCCGAGGCAGAGTTGCATGAGCAGCGACGTGATCTGAAATATGTGACTGACCCGTATACAAAGCTTTTCAATAAAAACAAGTGCTAATAACTTTCGTCTTTGATCGAATCTTTTCTCAACTCAGAGGACAGACAGTCTATTATGACCATTTATGGGCATTATAAAAACGTAAGTCATCAAATGCATTTTGAACGTGTGGAACAGCGAGAGTGAGGGGTTAATTATCTCGTCACAATCCAGGCATTCCACTGAGTCACAGTAACGGGAAATCAACACGGTGTCTAAGCGGTCTTGTCGAACTGGTCCAGCGGGTATAGTATTCATGTAACAATTCGAGAATTTATCTTCCACATAACCCGGGAACACGACCACCAAACGCCAACATTAAACGAACAAGCCAACTTCCATTGGTCCCGCACAAGCATTCGAATACCGCATTCATCAAAAAGTGAACAGACAAAGTCACGGTCTTGAGAAATGAAGCACTCTTAGGTCAACAACAGAACGGACAAGAGATTCACATTAGAAATAATACTTGTCACCTGGTTTACTTGTAACTAACAAGCTTGTTGATTTAAAATGAATTTAATACATTTCAATCTGAATAAATGTTTCTGTAGCTGTTTTATAATAGCGAAACCGCAATGAATTTGAATGATTGCTACCAAACGCATTGTCGTCAATCACAAATCATTCGTTCACATGATGAATCAATCTAGCGTGCTTGATTATAGTTGTGTTCTTGTTTTTTATCAATATACACACTATTAAATATTTCAAATTTTCAGACAGCTCTTAGATATCACTCGTCTATTTCATTCTATCCAGCAAATGAAGCGGTTCACTTTTTTAATGAACGTTACTGCTCGTTAATACAGATAGTTTTTGTTTTTTATTCTGCCTTTTTTCGATGTTCGTGATGAATCACTCGGACGATTTTACTTACCGGTACACCTTACCCAAATTGACAGATGTGAAACAGCTGTTGCAAACAGTTCCACAATCTGTTTACCGTGTCATCCAGATACTCAGGGTACTGAATAATTGCGGGGCACGGACAAGTCAAACTGCACTAGGTTTTAGGAGATGATACAGCTTGCTTGTGTCAGGCTAATTTAAAGTATCATCCATGCAAACAGGTCTCAAAAAGATCGCTTTCATTACTGATTTAGCAAGTCAATGAGAAGAACTTACACCCTGTTCACTGCATACGTCTGTTGAAAGTACGTTGATTTATTGCGCCTAACTGCCAACGTAAGGACAATTACAGAGGTGAATTTCCAATCACCTTTCTTCTGAATATTGCTTTTGGATTGAACGCAGGCTCCTTTTCGATACCTGTCTCACTGCATTGCTTTTTTATGCCGATTAAATTACCATAAATCAAAATCGAAAATGCCTGTTCCTTTCGATACTTGCTCTTTTCTTTGTGAAACCGAAGAAGAGTCCTACCTAATTCACAAAGCTTTCCATTCTGCACAACATGATCAGTCTTTTTCTCATAGCAACGAGCTCACATTTCTGTCTGTTTTGAGCATGCGATCCAATCAAATGGGAACATTTAGTGAACTTGGAACGATGCCCAGTGTATCACGGGTTGAGTCACACTACAAACAGGGATATTTTGCACCCGAGTGGACAGCCTGACGTGTTCAGTGGCAACTCGGTTGGGTCACTGTTTGATGCAGAGATTAATCGTACGATTCCTTCCATTGAATATAAATTATCTTGTATCACGCCAACCAGATCTGTTCCGGAAACCAACTCCACCATTACTGATGGTAGATTAAACAAAGAGCATGCGTAGACTTTGGCATAAGTTAATATCCGAATCTATTGATTTCCCTATGCCTTTTGGTGAATCAAATTATTGTTTATAGTTCATTGTTTTCCGGTTACAGTTATTTATACCCTTTTTCCGTGCCCTTCATGATCAGATAAATCACCTTCCGGTTGACTAAACACGATTGAACTGGGAGAAATTAGTGCAAGGAACCAAACAGAGATGGTAGATAAATACGACGGGTAGAAAGCGTACCCAGTAAAGTTATGAGATTCTACTCCTTGTGATGCATCTCAGATTGTCCTTTCGTGTTAAAAATGAAAACTCAGCTACTGGCAGAGTGGTATAAGCATTCGAAATAACCTTGCAGCTCACTGCTCTTGTTCATCTTACTTCGCAGCCGATCAGCAATCAGGGCTTGTACACCAGTTGCTTTGATTTATTTAACAGCCACAACAAAGCTTGTTAACCGTGCTGCTGCAGTGGTAGAAATAGCATATGCTTATTATGTTCATGCATTTCTCAAACACGGCTGTAGTACTACTACCGTAATATTAGTAATCGGTTCTTCAGTTTGCCGTATAATGCTGTGTTCAACTGATGCCTTTAAAGGAAAAAACAGCCACTTCAGTCAAAGAACCCTTGAAAACCTTTCATGAAAAGCTGTTCCCTGAACAAAGAACCGGCTTTGTGCATAAGTTTTAAAATGGCAACATATATCCAGATCCCGTGGGACAATTTCCGGTTAATCTTTTGATCTCAGTGTTCCCTGTTATGCTAAGTGATTTTGCCGCAAGTTTGCATGTGACATTACAGTTTATTGCCCCTGTCCGTGTAACACTAGTAGTGTCGCGAGGTCATTTTTGCTTTTTTGAGGAAACGCTCCTGAATGTGTCACAAAACAAAATAAAATGTCCATGTGCGGGTGCGCTTTGGGATTGGTTGTCTTTGGTAGACTTGAGAATAATCTATTTAAAATAAAAAGGTCGAGTGACGACAGTTTTTCAAGTGATTGATGCAGTTTTTTGGTAATACAACCAACCCTTGACGAGACGGCTGTTCCTACGATACTCACTGAACGAAATATATCAGCTGAAGATAAGATGCATGTTTCTCAACTAAACCACTGTTTTAAAGTGGCCTGGGTCAGCAGCACCTTGGACCAGTGTTGATACATTCAAACCCAGTCAACTATCCTTATTTCTGCCCCCCCCACCACCATCAACTTGACAAGGTTTTCTACTGCTTGTTGCCCGTCTCTGGAAAATTGATTGTACAGTGGTATATTCAATTACATTAGGTAACGGGTACAAACATGTAGTTACTCCACTCCATGTTGGAACAATACCCATAACTGAATTCATCGAAGGAAATAAGTATATGCTGACATAATTAAAAGGGATGCGCGAGTTCATTTAGCTTTTCTGCTCCAAAACACGAGTGATTACCGAAACCAAATAGCATGAACGATGGTTGACGGGAGTGATGAGTAGTG